TTTAATACTCAGATCATTTGGGAGGTATTTCTAGCAAACAGGCGTTCCTCTTCCATAATGGCTTGTGTGATGTGTAAAGCTTTTAATGTGGTTAATTATAAACTGTTTGTTTGCCTCTTTCACTTCAGCATTTCAAACCACCACCTCTATGTTCTGGTCTTGTTGCAGCATTTTTTGCCTAGTAATACGATACATGACTAACACAGTCTTTGCCAACATCTAAAACAATAAATTTAATTGATCAGCCTGTGTTAGTCTCTTGTCAATTCAGTAATACAAGAGTAGCAAAAGATGATAGAATTAATACATAAGTGAAAAAAATCACTCACCTAAAACAGAACAAAAGGCGGCCTTGCAAACCTGGATTCTTATTGGATCATTGGTGACATCTTTTCTCTTCTGGGCATCTTTGTTTTTAACTTTAAGGTGATGGCACTTCACTTGTTTAAGTGTTATAAGGTCCAAAAGGGTTTGATCCTGTTCAATTTTAGTTGAGAATAGAGAGACTCAAATTTTTTTAAGAAGATTGTCAGTAGTCAGTTGATCAGCATGGCAAAATCTGAACTATTTTTGGCGTGCAAACAAGAAATTGCTGGCATTTTACCTCCACCAGAATGTCGCATTTTCTTCATTTTTCCTCATTTGCGATTCTCTTTTATGATACTCCATTTCTTCCACACTGGAGAAACAAGAACTGGTTCCTTGTTGCTACCGTAATTATTCATTTTGATTCCTGGAGAAATGTCTGTTGTATACAAGATGATATTAAGAAATGAAGGTCACTGAATTTTTTCCTATGAAACCAAAGCATGCAGAGTTAAAAAAAAAGTAGTCAGTTTAAAGAGTGGTGTGTAAAAACCTGCTCTGTGATACAAGGTGGTCCTTCATTGTCTAAGGTTATTGGGTAAATCACATTGCACATATTGATCATCACATTGCAAGTAAGCAAAATATGACTGTTAAAACAAGATATTAGATAATACTGAAATACTACATAAAATGACTTAAAATATTTGAAACTACTATTATACAAAAATGAAATGACCCATATTAAACACAATGTCTTTCACCACAGGGGATGCCATTTTAAAATATATCTAAAAAATTTAATATCTTCAAATATTTTGAAACCCCCTAGTAACAGACAGACAAAAAAAAAAAAAAAAAAAAAGGAAACAATTTAAACATTTTTCAAATATTGTCTGCACATTATGTGAAAAAAACCCCCAAAAAACTCTTGAATTTGACCATGAAACACTGTAAAATGCAGTAAAATGAACAATGCAAAAAATATCTTGCATTTATGGAACTACGTATACACAACCACAGATAATTTGACCCCCTGAAGATGGTCTCAGATGAGAGTGAAAGTACTTGGGAAAATAAAAATTATTTGAAAGAAAACTAAACCTGTTTGAATATATATATATATATATATATATATATATATATATATATATATATATATATATATATATATATATTTTATATATTTTGAATAATAAAAAATATTAAAAAATTAAAATCTTCAAACACATTGGGTTGTATATTAATATCCCTTCATTTTTATTATTATATCATTTAGATTCTTCGACTAGTTTTGGCCAATATGGCCATCATTAGGAGAAAAATAATTTTCTGCTTGCTGGTAGCAGTGAACTACAGAAATGAATGTCTTGATGGAGAAAATGAACTTTTGTCTGTAGCTTTCATTTGTTTTTTTATTTTTTAACATGAATTTATTTATATATATATATATAAGCAGCAATTGTACATCAGGAAAAAAGATCATTAAATATGAGAGACACAAGATGTCTATTACTTTGAATATATATATATATATATATATATATATCACACACATACATACATACAGATGATCTACATATGAAGATGTTGTAGACTAGTTATTCATCATAAAAAAAAATTACTCTTTATCTTCAGTTTTTTCTCCAATAGCCAGCATTATTTATTTTCTCCACCTGATGAGAGATACACTTGGTTGTTTTTTCCAGGTGTCATAACAGACTTTAAAAGTATAATACAAAATCAAACATTGAGAAATATTAACTAACATTTGCAATCATTAGCAAGGCTGAAGGTTAGGTGGATGCTGCATCTCATCCTGGGAAAACAACAAAAAAAAATTCTTTATCACTGCTGAAAGTATGGCTTACCAGTCTTTTGAATTAGTTCTAGAATTTACTAAGTGACAGTTTGAAGCTGACTAAATAGGTACACCCACTCAACTCTCAAGAAGAGAATTGCACAACATGTTTCAGTGTGTATTAGAAAAGGTTGACTAAATAATTTGCTTAAGTGTTCTGTCATATCTGGTTCTGCAATCTCAGAAAACCTTACTAAAAATGGGATGCATGCATCATATTTATATGAGGCCATGTTCTCAGTTTTGAGTGGATGACATTCCAACTATCACTTAAAAGTCAATGAAACACTTCATACTAAAACAAGGCAACCATTCTTATGTAAATAAAAGGATTGGTTGTTAGGATTTTGCAATCAGCATATAGATATACTCAGGTGAGTGTAAGTGTTAGCGTTCACAAAATTTTAATCTTGATTGATTGATTCGTTTTGTACCGCTTATTGCAGACTATTTAAAGCAAGAAAATATTTTTAGTTTGTTAGAATTTTTGGAGATAATAATGATTTCGTGATACAACTAAGTGAATATAATGAACACAACTGTAGCTCTGCTCTGCGATTAACAATTCCAAGCCAAGCTTACAGCACTTGGTATTCTGAAGCAATCACTCATCTAGGTACTGATCAGGCTCAATGTTGATTAACTTTGGTGATGGTATGGGAATTGGTGTTTCAATGTGATATGGCTGTAAGCTTTAATTTCCTCAATTGAGTTCTGACGAGTAAGACAGTCATCCTATACTATATTTGTTCATTTCACTTTTTTCCTTGTCTCTTTTTATTGCATTTTTTTATGTCGAATAAGATCTTTAAAAATAAATTCATTATATATATATATATATATATATATTTAAGGTATGCTATATTTATGAGATAAAGTGCTCAATATCAGAGACAGAGTGTATCTAAATATAAAAGTGAACACTGAAGTCAACAGTCAGAAGCGACAGACGCAAAAATGCAATCGTCAAGCCAACTTGCATGAAACAGTCTATTGCTTCAGAGTGTTGACTTTAATGTCCACTTATATATATATATATATATATATATATATATGTGTGTGTCATCCACAGATTGTTTTGCTGTATCACAGCTCCTCAGTGTGGTTAGACATTAGATTCAAGCTGGGATCAAAACCTGACCGATTTGACATCAATCAGATATCTTACCTCTAGGCCATCATCGCACAGCCGAAAGGAAGGGAATATTAACATTTTTCTCTATACGAAATACACCAGTGGCTTGGAGAACTCAATTCAATTTACTTGAAGGAAGAGTAATGTTTAATAGCAGTAGGAGCCGCTGTTTTTTACCTTCACCTGCTTCAAAGAATGCCAATGTTGTTTCATCTGCAGGAAAGGTGATGGCCTCAGTGTTTTGGGTTGCAAAAAGGGCCACACCTTCAATGGAGCGTACTAGGCAGTTATGAAAGGCTAGCAAGAGTTAAACTCCATAAAACTGATGAAAGGAGGTCTTGTTTTTGAGCCATTATCCATTACACTACCTGAACATCTAAGTTTACAACACTTGGTATTCCCAGTATTTCAACGTAAAATGGCCGTAAAAAAAAAAAAAAAAAAAAAACGAACTACACATTTTTAAGTAGCATAACGTTCATTAAAAATACAAAACAATATTTTTTATTAGCTTCAGCAGCCGGTGTATATGTTTCATATTATAAGCATAGTTTTTATAAAAAATTAAAAAAAACAAAAACAAAAAAAAAAAACAAAAAAAAAAAAAACAATTTAAACCTGGTGTATTTTTGTGAAAAAAAAAGTATCGACCTTTAAAATGATACTTTGTATGCCTTCTTCACGTGACTGATTAGTAGAAAACGAAAATAACTTAGGAATCCGAACAAAACAAACAAAAAACAAAAAAAAACCCAACAAACAGAAAAAAAGCCATTTTAACACACACACACAAAAAAAAAAAAACAAGTATAAAAAATCTATTTATTATATAAAATAAAAATATCAACTATTATCTTTAAAAACTATTGGTTGGAGCTAAGTTAAATTAATTTTTAAGATTCTTCTAAGAAAAATATTAAGTGGCCCAAGGTCAACAAATAAAGAAGAAACAAAAGAAAAATGAACTTGTAGTCAAGGTTCATTTGGTGAAAACACACGGATAAAAGGTCTACTTCATCTGCTCTATAGGTTTATGTTTGTTATGAATATAAACCAAACGGGTGGTCAAGAATTTCGTTTTACTCTCATCTAACAATAAAAACTAGAGAATCTTATGATGTTGATGACAACATGCTTCATGTTCAGTTCAAAAAGTAAAGTTTCGGTTAATTTTTGTGAATTGTCTTCATTTATTTTTCTTTCTATAATAAAATTAATACACAAGGACGAACTGAGAAATGGTCCCTCGGATACACAATTCAATTGTATCGTTTTTATCCCCAGATGTAAAAAAAAAAAAAAAAAGTTAAGTTAAAAATACATGATAGTTTAAAAAACTAAAAGCAATCTTGTAACGATATAAATAGCAACAAATTTTTTTAAATAAAGATAGGATAAACCAACAAAAAATGCTTTAACAAGGAGGAAAAAAAAAAGAAAGGCAAGCACTAAATTTTTGCGGTTTCAAATCAAAATACATGGAAATAATTTACAAACAGAAATCATGAACATAAAATGCAACAGAATAAATAAACTAATTGAACATTACAAAGGTCGATTTTCAAGCGGAGAGTGTTGTTGACTACAATACAAAGATTAAAAAACGAACAAAATAATAAACAATACTTTTTGTAATTCTGAATATTGTCTGAGAAAAAAAAAATAACGAATTTACACACGTGTCATCCATTTTTTTACCTGATTTCGCAGGAGTCGTAAACAGTTCATGGTTACGTACAGCTCTAAATCTTTGCCGTGGAATACAAGGAACGAGGGACTCAAACAGGAAAGACAACTATTGATAGATTTTTTCAACACTGATAAGAGCAAATTCGAAATTACACAATGTACAAGTGATATCCACACATGGCATCCAAAACTGCCTGATTATCAAGAACGATAACTGGTAACATTTATTTGTTAGTAATCTCCCTTGGTTTCTCTATTTCTTTTTTTTTTTTTTCTCTTGATGGTGATTTTCTAAGCATAGCTTACATGTAGCACAAGGCCGAAAGTACGGGGTGCCCAATGAGGATCGAACTCACTTTTCAGTCGTAATTAATCTAGCAAAATAAGTTTGTTAATCATTACACCACGTCGAAATGCCCATTTTTTTCTCTTGATGTGAAAATAAAATTCGACACAAATGAACAATTTATGGTTTACTTACTCCTAGAAACTTCAAATTTTCTTTCTTATCACAATTAATAATCTACGATGACTGTACTGAGAGTTATGCGATTTTAAATTTATTTTTAAGATACATTTTTTAAAAATGTTTTTTCGATGACTGAATCTTCATGAATGTTCCAATTTTGCAAATAAAATATTACAGAAACTTTTGCCATATGTTTCAGAATGATACTACTATTAAAATGTAAGTGCCTCCAAACAAACGCAATACCTAAGGCTTAAAATGAATTTTTAAAAATGAAAAATCTTTCTTGTAGCTTTTGGTGGGACCTTAGAACCAAACTTCTACATTTGTTTAAAAACCCATTAAAAGTGGCTCAAAGCGAAACTTATCTCAGATCAATTCAAGTAGCCCAACAACCCATTAAAATCAGATCCAGACGAGAAGGAGCTAAAAACGCATTCTGTTTGGCTAATAAACAAAAAATAATAATTTCATATGTTCTCAACTACGTACGCATCATGTCGGTTTAGTGTGTATCCAACGCAGATACAAATTTGCGCCAAATTTATTGGAGCCTCCTACGTGACTTGAAACATCAATAAATACGAAACATCATTCGACTTCGGCAGTGAGTCTTACGTATTTTCTCTGCTCGACACAAGAATCCATGTCATATATCTTACCAGGTTTAAATTTACTTAACATTTCCACAGCCTGCGAAGTACACTCACTCAACTACACAAACTTAACAGAAAACATTAAGTGACACATTAAAAGAGAGACAACTTCAAACACAGAACAGTAAGTCGAGTACAATATTACAAAATTCAACACCAAAAATGAACTGTTTAATATTCCGACAAACACAGAAATACCTTATCAAACTTACCCATTTTTATATACACACAATTTCTCAACTCTTAATCTTTCATATAATATCTCCATAAACACTTCAATCAACACAAGAAAAAACTTTGAAGCAATTTAAATAACTCACAGCATACAATTTTGCACCTTCTGTTGGTTATGTATAAAAATATTTATTGCTGAACCAAAATATTGTTTTATATCGTTATTTCTCTTATTGTTTGCTTGTTTTTTGTTACATTTGTGAAGTTAAAGAAAAGTAGCGGGTTAATCGCATTTCCATCAACCCTTTACAGATTGGTAAACCCGTTGTTGTTGGTGGTTTTACCCCCCCCCCCCACTTTACAGGGCCATATAATTTCCTCTGTTTGCACTACCGCCGTGGGCTTGTTATGACGTCTATCTTCCTAGCTGTCTACATCGAAACTGAGGTTCTCCCACAAGCTGATGTCACTCCCCGACCGTCGTGAGAACCTCGTTAATTCATCTTACCCATAAGGAGATAATCGACCTCTACATAATTTTTGATTATATTGGTGCATACACCTATATCTTTTGAGATCCGGTTTTGGTGTCATTAAGGATACCTTCTAGGTTAACCGTCAATGCCCTTACGTTTTATGACGTTTTGAAGTGATACCGAGTATATATTGGGGCTACAACAAATCAATTTTTCTTAGATCAAGTTTTCCTTATGGACATTAAATTCGATTCAGATCCAGCGTTAACCACATACTACAGCTTTATTACACCAAATTGCAGAACGCATTAAGAGTTCAACACAAGTCCAAAATATGTCACCATCAATGCTTATCATTCGTTCTTCCCAGCGACTCCAACTGAAAGTCTCTTGATCAACTTATGAGCAATACGGTCGCTACTTGTTTTACATATTATATGGACTGTTTCTACTGGTTTTATTTCAAGTTTAACTTCGTATAGACATACGCTGTTCACTGTGATAGTTGTTATTTAAGAGGACCCGTGCGAAAATTATTCTTATCGCCTCTTGGTAGTAAAAACGGTCCAGTGAAGCCAACAGAAAAATAGTGACGTCATAGAAATTTGTTGATCGTTCTTGTCTATTCCCTTAACCAGTTTCAACCATTCAGTATTAGTTCCAAAAATGTGTGTGATTAGTGTGGATACCTTCTGCTATTTTATTGTCTATAAATCTCAACCAGTCCTTGACAAGCGTTAAGACGGTCAACTCGTGGGTGATAATTTTCCGTACTGTAGAGATACAATTGGTGATTATCTCCCTTTGGTCGAGTTAAAGTCACGTGACGTCCGCTTCGCATGGTCATTTCATACAGTGACGAAAGTGGCAGTCGGCTTCTAGATTTCAAACGCAGCAGTCGTTTGTTTGGCCCGGACAACTTGGACTGGATTGAGCACATGCTACATCCTACAAGCACATGCTGTCGTTTCCCTCTAGGAATATATACTCTCCAGATATAGAAAGAAACTATCGCAGTCCTCAATTTGGGAAAAACCAAGTTTCACCGTTTAGTGCTCACGAAATATGACCTCGCTTGGGACATAGTAGATGAATCCGACCCGCGTGAATCCTAAACATGGCTTCTCCAGAAATAGGTGAATCGCCATATCATATGTAAACTCCTATCTTTTCATTATCCATTCACTCTTCTTGCTGTGTACATATGTATATTGTTGTAACCAAGTAAATGGTTAAGAAATAACAAAACAAGAGGTTGCAGATGAATCGTGTATTGAACAGTAAATACAACAGAAGAGTATTACACAACTTAGGAGCGTGTGTCGGTTGACCAGCGTTCAATCTATACTACTTTAGTAGAACGAGGGTAGATGTGGCACAAGGCCGAGTTTAACGTGGGTCATCCGAGCCTGTAGGCTCGGCCAAAAATTCCCCGTAAAACCAGCATAAACGGGTTCGGGTTTGTCTACCTCTCCGGACGAGACTCCGCCCTTCGGCACAGCTTCGTCCGGGTTTCTCTCTGCCCAAAGGTAGAGAGTTCGACAGCAGCTGCGAACTTTCACAGCCTGGTAGAACAATCTATACTACTGTTCCCCGAGGCTTACTTTCCTACTAATTTTATAGTAAGTGGAAGAGTCCACAATCGACTCATTAGAGAGAGGACACCACAACACCCCGTAGAGTGTCTTTTTTTATAATTACAACACAATACTTAATTCATCAACAACAAAAAAATAATAATAAAACCCCCCAAAAAACAGCAACAAACACTTTCAGAAGACTATATTACGTTCACATTTTTTTCTTTTTTTAGATTTACGACACGCATTTCACGTATTAACAATAGTCTCTATTCATTATTCCTGAATGATGAAAAAAAAAATAGATAAGTTTTAATGGTAAATGATAATGTTAATAATTTCCAATAATCCAATAAGTATTGTGTTTTCCTGGTAATTAAAAGTTCATAAGTGAGGAGAAGGGTTTTTTTACTCATTCTTTTCCTTTTTCTGTAGTCATGGTATGAAATGAAAGATGTTCAATATCGTTTTCTTTTCGGGTTAATTTCTAAAGGTTCCGTAAACTTCTTTTTTCTTTTGGGCTTTCTGAGCGCTGGTACCGATTGCGCTATTGGAACCTCAAAAGTGTCAAAGACGACGTCCACCGTGTCATCTTCTATGGGATCCCTGTCGACTACTCTTTTATACCGTCTTCTGATTTGGTTTACATGACGTTTATGTATAAACTTCGGCCCCTGAACCATGTAAATCATGTTCCCAATTTGTTTGTCTATTATTCCTATCTCCCTATGAGCGTTGTTACTCCCAAATAAAAGGAAAATAAACCTTTTCACCGATCTTAAAGCGCTTTTTAAGTACTTTATTCTTATTGTCCACTTTTGTTTCATTCGGAAGGAATTTGTCAAATACTAATTTTATTTTGCTAGCAAACATGACTTCCAATGGCGTCTTGGCAGATCAAGCACTACTATTAGGAGTTACCTGATAGACCTGCAAAAACTGTTGTATAGCCGTATCGGTGGGAGTACCTCTGTGACACCATTTAGGGGCACAAAAAGGAAAAAGGAAAAAAAAAAAGAAAGGAAAAAGAGAAAGGAAAGAAAGGAAAAGAGAGGCGAGACTTAAGCTTAGATGATAAAAGAAACCACCCACGACCGGGGACATTGACAATGTTATTTTGATAAGTAACAAATGGTGAAAGGTTTCATTGCCATTGCAGAAAATTCTAAATGGATCGACTGTGTTGTGGTGGCGGACTTGTGTTATCGGGAATAGATAACAGCCACTTAATGCTGGCGAACATCTAATTGACAAACTAGACCGCTAGCGAAACTCCGGGACATTTCGACTATGTTATTTTGATAATGGAAAAGATGGTGAAAATTCTGACGGCCAGTGTCGTAGGATTGCCTGACAAGGACTAGGTGAATACAGAGCTTTGGATAGATAAGAAAAATTAACTGTGTCAGAGGGGCAAACAATATTGTCGGAAAAGGATTTAATAGGCCATCTGTTAACCGCATTACGAAAGACAACCCTGGGTTAAGTCTTTGCCGTTTTGACAAGACATCTATGGGTGTTAGAATTCAGTTATGATAATAAAACTATGTTATCAGAAATTGGCACCAAGAATGCAAATACGGCTAGGACAATGAAACTGTTTTTCGAGGCGGGAATCGGCTGTGTTTTCGCTAGACGACTACCCACTTGATAATTGGCATTGATAGATCCCAGGTGACATTGG